AGGATTCCTGTAACCTTCCACAGTCATACAACTTACCTAGGATTCCTGTAACCTACCACAGGCATACAACTTACCTAGGATTTCTGTAACCTTCCACAGTCATACAACTTACCTAGGATTCCTGTAACCTACCACAGTCATACAACTTACCGAGGATTCCTGTAACCTTCCACAGTCATACAACTTACCTAGGATTCCTGTAACCTTCCACAGTCATACAACTTACCTTGGATTCCTGTAACCTACCACAGGCATACAACTTACCTAGGATTCCTGTTACCTTCCACAGTCATACAACTTACCTAGGATTCCTGCATCAACAGCACGGTCATAGAAATAGGAAAACAGGTAGAGCTCATTTTTTCTTAGTTCATCCACTTTATTTAAGAGGAAAGACTTCACAAGCTGCTCAGCTTTTGCCCAGCACAGGGCAAACTCAGACTTCAATGAACTGTCACCACTGAAATAAATTGAAAAACCTGTTGTTTTCATTTTGTCAGTTTTTTCTTTTTAAAAGTGCATGTTATATTGTAGGTCTTTATTTTGAAATTGGACCAAACAAACAAACCTACAAATGGAATCTGAGAAAAAATCTGTCAAGAAATCCCTGTTAGAACTCTAAAATAAGATGAAACATGTACAACAATGAAATACTTCTGAGAAGTTACAAACTTCACCTGTCAAAATCCATGATGGCTGCCTGTTGGTCATCTTTTGTGCCGGATACCAATTGGATCCTTTATACGAAATTTGAGAAATATTTATCCAGCACCTCTTCAGAAATAGTGTGAACAGAAATTGTTAAAGGATGGACTACAGATGAACGGCAATCTGAGGTCTAAAAAGCTGATAGATGCCATGCATGCCAGCATAACCTCACCATTCCGTTAAACCAGGTAAGCTAAAAATATCTTATAAAGCTTTCTTTTATCATGAGTTGGAGTCATCAAACTGACACAATATTTGGTAAATGTCTGACCTGATGTTGAAGACAATCCCATTGTACTTCCAATGTCCTTTGTGTCCGGAGGGTAGACACACACTAGACAGGATGGCAGATTTAACTGTAGCAAAATACATACATAAAATACATACATAGCACAGACGCCATTAGGGAAATTTAAAAGGATGTTAAGGGCTCAGCTAATTAAGAAATAATAAACATATTGGTGTGCATTATGGTGGAATATATAACGAGGGTGAGAAAATGTTGGTAAAAATAAATAACGAAGGCCGAGTTAATTATTTTTCCAACATTTTCGAATCCCGAGTTATATATTCCACCATAATGCACGCACATAAGTTGATTATTTTTATTCTACCACGTCAAATGTAACTAATTGTTAAGTTTTGCTGTCTTATTAGTCGACATGACCTAGATAATGCGATATGCAAATTAGACGCTGTTCTTTTGCATGTGCAAGATTTATCACATGATCGTGTTGCCTCGTTTTAACTTGATTAATGTCGTGCCAACATTTCTCAGTGCATAGGGCTGGGATTCCCGGATTGCGTTTAATTCCACAACCCGACACAGATCCCCACAATAAAACACCCTGTCTCAGATTTTTGGTCGTAATACCAAGGAACTTGAACTTGAAGCCATGTTGATTTTTTGAAAGCAGACGACGTTTTGCAGACCAGAAACAACTGAACACGTGTGACTTCAGATACAATGTTTATTTCAATCAATCAAACATTGGCACCCTATCGACATCGTTCGTCAAAACATGAAATCAACACTTGACAGTACATACACACACTACGGCACTACCCAGTGAAGTAAAAACAGAAGTAATTAATAATTTACCATTTTGTCTTCAGACCTGTACATTTTAAATGTCAATAATTAATAAACCATTTTCACTGCACGGACCCACATACTTTAGGTCTTTAGATCTGTTAAATCTTTTGAATGGCAGGCCTGTCAAATATTTTGATCCCGCCTGACAGTTATGCTATTTTTGTTAATTCATGATAAAATACGGGGAGGTTGTTGGAACAGCATGCATGCGCACTATTTCACGTGCATTGGTTATTGGCACGCGCATGGTATATCGCTCAATAATGCACTCTTTTTAACCAATGAAAACTGTCTTTACATCACAGACGTGGTAGAATTATAAATAGCCTGAGGGCCTGTATCACTCACCAGGATTATTTAGCAACCATGGGAAAATATTCTCATTAAATATAATACTGCATCTATTTCCGAATATTGAGTCTGTCTCAGCAACACCCATCCCTTGTGATACCATTGGGTTCTTCTGCCTCCATGAAGTTAAGGTGGATTTTAAACATTTACCTATACAAATTTAGTCCCCTGCGCTAAAGGATGCTTTAAACAAGATTTGGTTAAAAATTCTATAATCAAAACTGTAGAAGAATTATTTTAAAGATATACCTAAAGATCCCCTTTTAGGCCCCACCCCTCTGCCTCTAGGAAGCCACACCCTCAATTTATACAAAATTGAGCCCTTATTGCCAAAGGATGCTCTACACAACCTTTGGTTTAAATTAATCCCTTCAACTGTACTGAAGGAGAAGAGTTTGAAACATTTATCACAATAATCCCAAACAGGGCCCTAACCCTCTGTCCAAAAGAGGACCACACCCTCCATTTTTACAAAAAAAGAGTCCCTCTTGTCCAAGGATGCTTTACAAATAAATTGTTCAAAATCCATTAAATTGTATACTATAACAGAAAGATTTGAAACATTTATTACAATATCCCCCCTATTAGGTCCTGCCCCTCTGCACACAGGGAGACTACACTCCCTGTTTATACAGAATTAACTCCCCCTTGCCCAAGGATGTTCTGGACCAAATCTTTGTTAAAATTCATCAAATTGAAGTTGTTAAAAAGTTTTTGACAAATTTGACATCTGTGACCTTGAATAATGGTCGATGTCAAACATTCAAGCATAAAATGGCCAAAGTGCAGAACACTAGGCAAGTACTTAGCTGTGTGGAGATGGCTCCACCACTAAGCTGCCATTAAAAATTGTCATTTTCTTCAAAATGTATGGGGGAAAAAGAAACACACAGACAAATAATACTTGCTGAACTTGAAAAAAAATAAGCCACCGCTTTTTTTAAAAATATGCTTGCATGTGACTGCCCTCCCATTGTGCAAGCGCTTAACACTAAAGTCACTATGTTCTTTATGGTTTTATTTTTTATTATTCGTTTGGATTTGATTTTCCTTCCTTTTCTTTGATTTAATCGTTGCTGTACATGTAGACCAGTGTCCTGCTTCCTGAAAATTTTCCTTCCGTTAAGAGTTATGCCTCTTGACTTTAAAAAATGGCAGAACACAATCATGATCAGGATTTATGATCAATACTGATAATATCCAATAATATTCTACTGTTAATGCTGTCATAGGATCCTAGTTGTAGTTCAAGCATTTATGTTATACCTTTCATAAAATAACAGTAAAATGTTTATTGCTGAGGCAAACATACTGGGTGGCATTAAAAGCGAAAGTTAACAATTTTTGACTTCTTTTTTTATACAAACTGAGTCCCCTTTAGCCAAGGCTACTCCGGGCCAAATTTAGTCAAAATCCACTTAGGCGTTCAAGACTAGTAGCATTATAAATGAAAAGTTGATGGATGGCCGGATGGCCAACGGATGCCACATCACAGCATAAGCTCACAAAAAATTATTACACAATGTGAGTCATTGAATTAGAAACTTTCAAAACTCCAAAAACAGCCTCCTGGAATACTGACCTTTTCTAGGCCCTCCAAGGATAGAAAAACGTGCTGCCTTTAGACCTAGCCCAAGGTAGCTGTTTTCAAAAACAAAATAAAACAGATGTTAAACAAGAGGCCAAGAGGGCCTGTATCGCTCACATGGAAAAGTTAGCAAAATTGAAGTTGAAATAGACAGATGTTGCTGAAAGTGTTCATGCATTACATAGTTAGTCAGGGGTTATATTTATATGCAATTGGACAAAATCCTGTCATTCCTACAGGAAAAGGAGGATTTTGAAGAATTTGCTATGTTTCCCCTATTGGGCCCTGCCCCTCTGCCCCTCTGCCCCCAGGGAGGGTGGGGTCAGACCCGCCGTTGATTCAAAATTAGGTCCCCTACACGCAAGGATACTTTAAACCAAATAAAGACATAATCCTGTAATTCCTACAGAAGAAGAAGGATTTTAAAACTAATTTTCTATTTTCCCTATTTGGCCCCACCCCTCTGCCCCAAGGAGGTTCAAATCCACCATTTATACAAAATTGATTTCCCTTTCAAATAAAATTCTACTATTAAAATTTGGTCAAAATACCTTCATCCCAACGGCAGATGAAGGATATTAATGCTATTCCTCTATATCCCTTATCGGGCCCCATCTCTCTGCCCCAAGGAGCGTCAGACCCACCGTTTATACAAAATTGGTTCCCCTTCGCCCAAGGGTGCTACGGTTTAAATTTGGTCAAAATACCTTCATCCCAACAGAACAACTAGAAATATGTCAGAATGACATGAAATTCACCCCATCATTCTGTATGATCATTTTCCGATAAATCCTTGACCAAGCTACAACGGATATATTTCCACCTGTCAATCAAAATGGTAAACAATGACCAGGTGTAAATACATACATGCTGTTCAGGTAGCCATGCCAACACATGGAATTAATAAGAAAGCATGTCGCAAATATAATGTTAGCGTTGACCGACACCTCAAATACGAGGAGATCTGCACGCTGACACGGTTACCTGTGGCATACACAGTCACCTGGCATGGGCAGGACAGATAATTGGAATATAACGATGTTGTTTTCACAAAAATAAGTTTCAGAAAAGATTCAATCTTATATACGGATAAATACACTTTTCCAAGTATTTTCTGATCGTCTGCAAATCTGACTGAATCGGTCATCGATATCGGCAGAATGGGTACGCGTTAAGGCAGTCACCCGACGAGGACCGCCAACAGCCGAATTTGAGAGACATGAAGAACACCAAACAATTGTGGTTTCAGCAATTCTCCCTTTAAAAGAAAAGATTGGAATGTATTTGGCTGTTTTGAAACCGTTAATATTTCTTTTTCAAACTCAAACTTTTATCATTATCGGTTCAATTCGCATGGATGTCACCTTGTAAATTCCTGCCGGTTAATAGTATCACGCAACCTTGACTCTTTGCGGTACACAAACTTGCTAACTTCGCCACTTTACCCGTGTCGTTTTGACAATCCTACTGTCAAGATTGGAGAGTACAGCATGATTTTACCCAAGAACATAGTGATAAATGCGATGCAATTCTTCATCATGTTTCCCCGATACGTGGTATTTATCAATTTACAACGTAACGTCCTGAAAATTTATCTGATTCTATCATATAATATGACCTAAACTTGTCGCGACCAAGGACTGGTATGGGATTGTTCTTGAGTATCGTGTACACCTCTTTCTTGACACTTCATATTTCCTTAAAAAAGTGTGCACTATACGCAAATATTAACGGTAGTCGTTGGTCAGATATAAAATATCTAAATCAGTCAATAGCAATTTATAATACGACAGTTTACCCCTTCGGGGACCTCAAATGTGCCTGATTCATACTCGGAACATCTTTAGGTTAAATGTAATTCCCATGGGAAATTTGGAACACCTTTAGGTTTTATGCTATTCCTGATTAAAAAGGAAATCGATATCTGAGTTATCCAATAGCTTGTAATTAGCGCCTGGTATATTCTGACAGAAGCAATACACTGAACCTCCATATCCCTTATTGGGCCCCGCCTCTCTGCCCCCAGAGGGGTCAGACCCACTGTTTATACAAAATTGGTTTCCCTTCACCCAAGGGTGCTTCATACCTAATATGGACAAAGGATGCTCTACATAAAATTTGGTCAAAATTCCTCTAATGATTTACCCTGCACCAAGGGGGGGGGGGGGGGGGGGGCACACTCTCTGTTTACACAAAATTGAGTCCCCTTTGCCCAAGGATGCTCTACGCAAAATTTGTTAAATATCCCTCAAAGCATAAAGGAGAAGGATTTTAATCAGTTATTACGATGTCCCCCCTTTGGGAAGGATCTGTCAAAGATGTCTTCAAAAACAGCAATTACAGTAATAATTATTGTTTAAGGAAGAAAGATGGATGGATAGACAGACCAAGTAAATGTGATTTTAACAGCCTACAATCTGATAATGCATGGCTTAAAACAGAAAAAGCAACCTTTTTTCAGTCATTTTTTTTAATGTAGTGTGTCAATGTCTCCATCCAACAAACATTCTACTGGGGTTAAAACTCTTTTTGAGAGTTCTGATGATAATGTGAAGTCTTACCTGTGAGTATATAAAACATGTTGTTTCTTGAAAAGCTGCACTGTTTTGATAAAATCTTGTGGAACACTTGAAAAAGTTGACTGAAATACAAAATGAACAAAATAAAAGCACACTGGAAAGACACATGTATGACACTTAACAAATAAAAAAAAAATGGATACATCTGAGGTGAAGTCCAGATTATAACAAGAGGCCCATAGGGTCTGTATCGCTCACCTGGATATCTAAGCAATCATGGCAAAATATTCTCCAAATGAGATTCAAGGGAATATGCCCGACCCCAAGGCCAATCCGTGTAGCATATATATCTGTATTCGATTTTTCAGTCAAATTTAGTTAAATTCCTATCAGTGGTTAGGAAGAAGAAGTCATTTAAAGAAATTGTTGACGGACGGACGACGGACGGACGAACGACGGACGCAACGGTATGGCATAAGCTCACCTTGGTCCTTCGGACCCGGTGAGCTAAAAAGTAAAGCCTTAAGTATTGAACAGAATATACTCCCTTTCTGACATGTGATGACTGGTGGTGGACAAGCAACAAAGGAAAACAAACCAAACTAACAACATTGATCCTCAACAACTCTGTCCAGACCAGTCATCCATCCCAAAAGTAGCCCGACTTGTCATTATTAGCTTTATTGAGCTTTCAAAGCTAACAATCATATTTCATAAATCTAAGAATCATAAATCAATCATAGCCAGCTTTATGATACACAGATATGAGCTGTTTTGCATCTGTGATACTGATTGCATAAGCAATATCCCGGACCAACTCTGGCATGCACCATATCTGCCCAGCAATTGCCAATCTGTTTCTCTTCTGGTTTAACACATTTCAGAACAAGAGGGCCAGGGGGCCTTGATAGCTCACCTGGAAGTTTCCTTTTTTAAAACTTAATACCTGTTTATATAATTACTAAACTTTAATCAAATAGATTGTGCAAAAATATAAGCTGTAGTACGAACTTAATCCCTAGGGAAGCAATGCCACTATGGACATGAATATATTTGTTTCTCCATGCCAACCAATTTAATACAATGGAACCTGATTATGATATTTTATTTTTCTATTCTCTTTTGGTTATTCAGAAGAAGTTGTTTAAAGATTTTAAGCATATTTGACCCTCATACAACCTTGAATATAGGTCAAGGTAATTCATTTGAACAAACTTGGTAGTCCTTCATACCAGCATCCTGCTGCCCAAATACAATCACCCTGAGCATTTTAGTTATTCAGAAGAAGTAGTTTGACCCTTGTACCCTTGAATAAAATTCAAGGCCATTCATCCCAGTATGTTATTAGCCAAATATCATCATCCTGATACTTCTGATTATTCAAAAGAAATTTTTAAACATTTTTAACATTTTTGACTCCTGTGACCTTCAAAATTGGTGAAGGTCATCCATATGAACAAAGTTGGTAGTCCTTAATCCCAGCATCTTACTGGCCAAATACCATCACCCTAGGCATTTTGGTTATTCAGAAGAAGTTGTTTAAAGTAAAAGGTTGATGCTGGACGGACGGACAGCATCCACATCTCCAAAAGTAAGAATGTCCCCTAGGAGTCATGTAGATTTTTTTTCACTATAAAAGTTGTTTTGCATCCAAATACAGTTGAAATTTGAAAATCTGTCTTTGTTTTTTTTAATGATATAATATATATTATGTTTAATTATTTCAATAAACTGACCTGCTCTGTAGGATTAAATGTGATCTGGGTTGAACCCCCTCCTAGGTCTAACGCAGCCACAGTTTTAGAGCCTGCCTTCAGTCGTCCTGGAAGAATAAAACAAGAGGCCCAGAGGGCCTGTATCGCTCACTTGGATATCTAAACAATCATGGCAAAATGTTCTCCAAATGAGATCCAAGGGAATATGCCAGACCCCAATGCCAATTCTTGTAGTATGTCTGTATTAGATTTTTCATGCCCAGCAATTTAATGTATGGTTATTGGGTGGGGATCTTAGCTGTTTCCAAGCTGTGACTAAGAAACTACATTAGGTCCCTAAGAGTATACTGTCAGACCCCTGGGTCTATTCTAATACCATGACTACTTTTGTCTCTTTATGCCAAGCATTTGTATATATAGTTCTGGGGTGGGGATCTCAACCGTTTCAAAGTTATGACCCAGGGACTATGTCTCAAAGGGTGGTACCAGACCATAGGCCATCCTGATCCTGGAAGCAAATGTGCATGCTTCTCTTTATACTCAACAATTGTATATATGGTTATACTGTGGGGATCTCAACCATTTCCAAGTAATAAACTTGTTTTGGCCACCCCCCTTAGCAGGGGGGGGGGGGGGGGGGGGGGGGTCAGCCCACCATTTGTACAATTTTGAATCCCTGCCTCCCATGAATGCCTCTGACCAAATATAATCGATATCCATGGCATAATTATACATAAGAAGTTGTTTATAGCAATATAGCCAAATTGCCCCCTTTTGGCCCCGCCCCTCAGCCCCCTAGGGGTCAGTCCAACCATTTGTACAATTTTGAATCCCCACCACCTAGGGATGCTTCCAGTCAAATATGGTTGATATCCAGTGTATAGTTCTACAGAAGAAGTTGTTTGTAGCAATAAAGCCATATTGCCCCCTTTTGGCCCCGCCCCTCAGCCCCCTGGGGGGTCAGCCCAACCATTTGTACAATTTTGTATCTCCGCTAACGAGGGATGCTATCAGTCAAATATGGTTGATATCCAGTGTATAGTTCTACAGAAGAAGTTGTTTGTAGCAATAAAGCCATATTGCCCCCTTTTGGCCCCGCCCCTCAGCCCCCTGGGGGGTCAGCCCAACCATTTGTACAATTTTGTATCTCCGCTAACGAGGGATGCTATCAGTCAAATATGGTTGATATCCGTCTCTTAGTTACAGAGAAAAAGTCCCTTAAATCTATATAGCCAAATTGCCCCCTTTTGGCCACATCCCTAAGGTCCCTGGGGGGGCCAGACCCACGGTTTATACAAAATTGGTTCCCCTTCACCCAAGGATGTTTCAGACCAAATATGGAACAAATCCTTTCACTCCTACAGAAGAAAAAGGATTTTAATGAATTTGCTATATTTCCCCTATTGGGCCCCGCCTCTCAGCCCCCAGGGGGGCCAGACCCACCATTTATACACAATTTGTTTCCCTTTCCCTAAGGATGCTTCTGACTAAATTTGGTCAAAATCTGCTCAGTCATTTATGACTAGTAGCGTTATTTTAGGAAAGGTGAGCTAAAAATGAATGAACTTTATTCACAGTATTCATATACAGCTTAAACTAGAACTGTAAGCCAAAGGCTAACTAGTACCCCCACTCCTATATACAATCAAAATCGTCACGGCGTCAACAAGCCTTGTTAAAAAAGAACACGCCCACAAACCGAACAGTTGTTTCAGCGTGTCACTCACTGCATCTGGCTCGTCGATTGGTCGATAGAACGTTTAGGTCGGTGTCGTCCTTGATTTCAAAAGAAGTGTACAACATTGTATTTTTTTCGGAGACTTTTTGCTTGCGCGCATTGCCAACTTAAGATTACGCATACATGTATATGGAAATGTTAAATTTACATTGCATGTAATTGTTTCAAACCATGTGTCATGACTTAAATATTTCGTTGAATATGTACTTATCCACATTTTCGTGAACTATAATGGTATTTGTGACTACAAGAGGGCAAAATGAAGAACATTACAAATGCTTGACAGCTGTCCATACCGGCCGCTACACTGAAAAGTAATGTCATAGAACAGTGCAAGATTCGACAACTCATTCGCTTGACTTTTGTAATGTTTACATGCAAATGTTTGTATTTGTAAATGTTTCAAGCCACATACATATATATCTATATCAATTAATTGCCAAATTAGACTGTTTCGTTGAGCATATTCACATGCTATTGCGTACACAGGGACTTGACACGTTCCTATGACCCAGACTGAAAAAAAAAAAACTTTCGTTCTGGGTCATAGGAACGTGTCAGGTCCCTGTGATTGCATATATGTATTCACAACATATACAACAGAACAAAATTGTAAGAATATGCAAAAATTGCATGATTTTTTTATACAGCAGCATATATTTGCCTGTATAAGTATTTCCTGTCTTGATAAAAACTAAACAGTTTCAATTGTAATTGCAATATTTATTCAATATTGAACAAAAACTTATTAAAAACGAAAACAATTAGGTATCATTTTCCGGGGAATTATCTCCATGGATACACTCCATTGAGAGTATACAGTGCAGCTGACATTCTGGGGTACACAATGTACTATCGGCACACAGGCTATCTAACGTCACTGTACCCAAATCGGGACACTTTTTAGATAAATATCAATGTTCTTTATACAATACTATACTATCAGTTTCAAAAAGGTTTGTTCATTTTTCATAAATAGATACTATCGACTTTTCATTTTTATCACAATTTGATATTTCGGGCGCATGGTTCTACAAAAAGAAAGTGAAATACCATCAGAGTTACGTAGGCCGTTGAACCGGCGTAAATGTACCCTAGAAGGGACACTTACGGTATTTTGGCGAAAAGTTGGGGATAAACGATCAATATCGCCAGAAAGTCAACGAGGGTTCTGATTAAATTCTTTCTATAAAATAGACTTTGGAAAATGATATCCAAATAAATAGCGTCGCACGGTACATAAATCAAGAAAGTCTTGTTTTGGTAATTATTCTTACCTTTAAATTGTTCATGTAACGATAATCAGCAGTCAATAAGCTTAATACAGTTTAATTGTTATGAAAAGTATTCTCAAATAAAACTGTATACATACAAATATTTCTTTGCATTGAATGACAGTTTCTTGCGCCGATTGTACACTTACTTTTATTATAAAACAAAATCTTATCGTTTTCGTGCACATCATTGTTATTATATAATTTACAAATATATTTAAACAGGTATGTAAGCAAAGCTCAGGTGACCTAAAAAGGATGTAAAAATAAACAAGAGGCCCATGGGCCTAAACGGTCATCTGAGTCCTACAGTATTTATTTTTGTTGTTAAAATATGTACCAATTTGAGTACAAAATAGTTAAGTATAACGTTAACTTAAGTTTGTCAGGACCATGAGCTGATCATTCCTAGACCGAGTTTCAGTTACACCACTGAAACTCCAAGTGTGAACGCAATATATGATGTAATCCCTACCACCCAATCGAATCATTTGAAAGAAGTAAGCTCTTTTCCGATTGGCCAATAGACCTCACGTACAGGCGTGAAGGCTAAGTTTTCACGTGTGTTTGTCGTAGCCCATTCTGAAACGGAATGAGTCTTACAAATAAAACAAGAGGCCCAAGGGCCTTAGCGGTCACCTGAGTTATATCATAGGTACTGGTAGCTTTATTTTATTGTTTAGATGTGATGTGGAAATCAGCATGTAAACTAAGTGAAATACAATACTTGTCATGTCATCAAAGGATAAGAATTTTAAAATATTTGTAAATGTTCCCTTTGGGGCCCCGCCCTAGCCCCTGGGGAT